ACCCAGTGCTCTCTTCTGGCCTCCACAGACACCAAGCTTCCTATGGTATAGACTACATGTAAGGAAAATACCCAAGTCTGTGCCTGTATATTGATGCAAACATCTTTATGTATAGAAATTTCTTTACTAAAATGACTTATTCCAAGCATAATGCTTAGTTGATAACTTGCTTTTTCCACTTAACAATGCACTTTAAGTCATCAGACTTAGCAAAGAAAAATACAGAATGCCCAGTTAAAATTTTAATTTCAGACAGGCAAAGTGTTTTTATGATAGAAACTGTACCAACTATATATATATATATATATATATATATATATATATATATATCACTATTTGTGATGATCAATCTTCATTTTAATTTGATTAGATTTTTTATAATCACCCGGGATATACATCCCTGGGTGGGTCTGCTGAGGATGTTTCTAGAGAAGCTTAACTGAGGGTGAAAACACTCCCTGAATATGGACTGAGCTATCTCAAGGGCTTAAGTGCTAGACTGGAAAAAAAAACTGGAAGAAGAGAAAGCAAATGGGATGCGAGCATTCATTTCATCCTTCTCTACTTCCTTACTACAGAACATGTGACCAGCTGCCTCAGGCTCCTGCAGCCATGCCTTGCCTTCCATGGTGGACTGTACCCCAAACTGTGAGTCAAAAGAAAACCCCTTGCTTTTGTCAGGTATTGGTCACATCAATGAGAAAAGTAACCAATAGACGGTTCATCTAAACTTTAAACTCTGTATCTGTATGTTTCATGTTTTGGTTTGCACATTTTGACCTATATCTCAGTCAAGTGAATCATTGCATGTTGCTAAGTAACAGCTCTTGGTAGTGGGATTAAAGATAATTATTATATTTTTCCCTTGATTCACATTTGTCAGAAGCCTATCAGTGAAAGAATTTGTAGATAGGTTTGTAGCAAATAGAAGCTTTTGCCTGTACAGCAGGTGGGTTGGTGGAGCTATGGAGTCTGGGAGAAGAAGCTGGCATGTTCCATTGTTTATCTTTGTGGTAGAGGATGCTCTTGGGCCATGCAGAGGAAGTGGGTGAGAAGGAAGCCGGTCTTGTACCTCAGAGGGTTTGATGTCTTTCTTAAAGTCCTGCAGTAGTCCTATAAGAGGCCACTCCAATACCTAGAACTTAGGAAGTCAAAAGAAACTTCATGGTGAACACTGCAAGGCCTAATCGAGCTACACAGGACCCTGGGTTCCCACAGTTCCCCATGGGCCCTGGTTTGCAGCTCTCTCCTAGGAGCTCAGTAACTCTCCATTCCTCATGTCCCACATGTTGGGAGTTGACTAGATGCTCCAATGAACTCAGAATACTCGATACAGGATTTTCTGGGGCCCCTTGTCTAGGTCCTGCTGAAAATAGGGAAGCTGGGAGGTGGACGACTTTGCTGTAAAGCTCTGATTCCTACAGTGGCTGCACTAATGCACTCCTTTTTCCCAATGTCCTTGCCAAAGTATGTTCATTTGCGCTCTTAATGACAGCCATTCTGACTGGGCTGAAATGGAATTCCAATGCAATTGCCATTCGTATCTTTTCAATGGCTGACTAGAGATGGTGGCATTTCTCATGCATTGATTGGCACATTTCTACTTCTTTTGAAAACTGTTTTACATCATTGATATGCTAGGTAATCATATGACTTGTTTTGTCATTTTATATATATATATATATATATATATTAAAATCCATTAAATTAATAGCTGTTAAAAACTTACCCCATCTTGTATTCTTTGTTATGCAGAAACATTTTAATTTGATGCAGCTCCATTTATCAATTCTTGCTGTTATTTCCTGTACTATTGGAGTCCTGTTCAGAAAGTCCTTGCCTATGCCTATTTCTTAAAGTATTTTCCGTATTTTTTTTTTGGTAGTTTCAAAGCTTCAAGACTTACATAAAGATATTTGATCCATTTTCAACTTAATATCTGCAAAGTCAGAGATGGGAATCAAATTTCATTATTTTTAAATGTTTTAATTAGCACACAGGTAGTGGCGTTCCTGTGGCATTTATTCACACTTATGTTGTTTTTGTTAATTCCCTATTTCCCTGCCTCCCACTAGAACCCTTTTGTCTGAATTATTCCGCTTTCAACTCCCATGTCACCTCTGTTAAACGACCCTGCCATCTTCCTTCCTTAAAACCTTTTCTCATCCTGAGGTCTCATTAATGGTTTTGTGACCTATACCCAAACTTGCCTCCATATAAATACACATGTATAAAATTAGAATCTAAGAATCACATATGAGGGACAAAACATGGTCATTGTCTTTCTGAGCTTGGGTTATCTTACTTAAAAATAGAACAAAGGAAAAATTTCCTTCATCTACTTGTATGTATGTAGTTTACTCATTTGTTAAAGAGACTGTCTTTCCTCTGACATGTGTCTCTGATCTTTCCTGAAAATTAGTTGGCCGTAGCTATGAGGACTTGCTTTGTGTCCTCTGTTCCGTTGATCTATTTGTCTGTTCTGGTGCCAGTCCTATACTGTATTTGTTACTAAGGTTCAGCAGTATAGTTTGAAAGTAGGTATTGTGGCAGCTCCATCATTACTCTTTTCTGCTTCCACAAGAACGTTAGACTATTGGTCCTAGCTCTGGAAACAGTGGTTATAGGACATTGGTTGAGATGGCATTGTATCTATCCATCTTTGACAATGCATTGTATCTATCAGTGTTTTGATTCTATGGCCACTTTCAAAACTTTAATTCTACCAATCTGTAAACATAAGGGTCGCTCAGTCTTCTAGTGTCTTTTTCTATTTCTTTCTTTAGTGTTTTTATACTTTTCACTGCAGAAATCTTTCACTTCCTCGGTGAAGTTTATGTAATTTCCTGCCTCCTTCATCATACTACTTGTATCCCCTTACTTTGCTAGAAGTGTCTATTAGATGTAAGTATTTTGTGGAGTCTTTGGGGTATTTTGAACAGAGGATCACACTGTCTGACAATAGGAGGTCCCCCTTCTTAAAGATCCTACCAACTTTTAACATCCCTTTACTGGAGACTAAAATTCTATGACATGAGCCCTTAGAGGACATACCCAAACCATTTCTAAGTGCGGCAGTTAGAGGGAGAAAAGAAGCCAAGAATGAAAGAAACAATGGATGGAGAAAGGGAGTAGGAAGAAAGGAATTGTAGCCCAGGAAAAGTCAATAATGTGACAGAAGATTGTACAGTGGTTCCAACACGGTAGAGCTGATGACCATGCAGTTAGCTCTAGCCCTCTAGTATTAGATGTTGGGCTATCTGTATTTAATGTGGATATTTAAGTAACTGACTGTGTGGTAGGTGTCTGATAAAACCATTTCTCATCGTCTTGAACTTTGTAGCAAACGAACCTTCCTGTCCCTATTAATGACCTCTGTGTGCTTTATCTGTAAACTACTAAGAGGTTGTTTGTCATTAGAGCTACAAAACAAATAAGGAATTCCAGGCTAGCAATTTACATGAACCCATAAATCTTTCAGTCGGCCTTTGTATTGGTCCACATACAGAGAGAGAAGGAGGATACCTTCTGAGGGTTCAATTGAAGAGTCTAAGGAGGAAGATGGAGTGGATGAGATGTTAGGGGAACTTGCAATGGAAGGGGAAGCACCTCCAGATTTCTAGAAGTGTCTGTTCTTCTGATCCTTAAGGCATATGACAAGGAGCTTGGAATCCTGGGAGAGGCTGCCTGGTGAGAGGCTGTAGAGAACACCACTGCTAGGACAGGAGCAAGGCAGTGAGGATGCAGAGGGAATACCCTCTTCTCCTTCCATCCTCTGATCTGCAGGTACTTCCTCTTGCAAAGTCCAGCCAAGAAGTCAAAGGGCAAAGAAGCTGATGTCATGCAAAAATGCTGTCTCCTGGGAACACAGCACAAGGCAGGGGAAGCATCATGGAGGCACACAAGACACCGTGGGGCAGGAGAGACAAATAACAAGCAGGTAGCACCTGAGCTGAGACCTCCACACATTCGAATCTGGAGGCACCGGAAACTGGCTCCTGGCTTTCAGGGAGTAGAGAGCAGCTGGTGCATGGACCGTGCAGGTGGCACTGCAGGTGAGACCTCCACGTAGTGTAACCTGGAGGTTCTAGGGCATGGCTTTGTGACTTCAGGGAAATAGATACCAGCTGCTGCCTGGATCATATTTGCCTCTTGATATTTCTGCATTAAATGTGTGCATGTGTTCACTCTCGCGGGTAGGCAAGTGTGTGTGTGTACATGTGTGTGTGTGTGGTTTTTGTAAGCAAAAGGCATTACTTTTTAAACTGCAAGTTCAGATGTCTCCTGAGAAGTCAGGGCCCTTGGTGGAAAGCACTTAGTCTTCTCAAGAAGCTGTGCACAGCCAAGGCCCATTGATGTCTGAGATCACCTCTTCTGCCCTCTCTAGTCAGCATGCCCAGTGGCGTGGCTGGAACCATCTGAATTCTTGAAGCCAATGGACAGAGCACAGTCTCACCACCTCTACACCAGGCCTACGGTCAGAGAAGCACATAGCACCTAGACTCCAGCAATAACAATGACTGAGACACTAGAGCCATTTCTCAGTATCAGCCAGTCTCTTCTCCAGGATAGTGGAACTCACATACGGGAGATTAGTTTGTGATTCCCCTTCTAAGTTACACCATATTTTTCAACATTAACATGCCACGCTAGTGGCATATTCTCTGGATGGCTGCTTAGGTTACATTTTTGTTAAAAATGGTGAGTGTTCTTACATGTTGCTCAGTTTAAGGCAGAGAAATTTGAGAGTAATTCATTTTTTAAGAATGAATTTCTCCTGTGTAAGCTTTTATTTGTTCTTCTGAAAGTCCAACAGGATCTAGTTGTCGGACTTAAACGATGCCATTTAAAAATCAGACTTCTGAGCTCTTGGCAGAGCGGGTATTATTCTGATCAAGCCTGACCCACCTCGTGGTTTCCTAGAGGTCCTGGGGACCTGACCATTGAACTGGGGGAAATGCTAACAGTTCTTAGGAAACAAACTGCCGGCTAATCCATAGTAAGCCACTCACAAGAATTTATTTTCCCAGAAGACACAGGTGAGTGCCAATTTGACTGGAGGCAGAGGGGGTAGTTGGCCCGTGGAGGGCAGAGGAAGGGCTGGTGGTGACACACGAGTCTGCCGGCTTTGCTGTTCTCTCTTTCATCCCTTCCATTCATCAGCGCCGGTAAATGTCTCGTTGGACTCCAAGCTCGCTTCTGCAGGACCTGGGAAAATGGTGGCCATCTGTTTGTGTTCATGTTCCATGATTCTGTTCTGTGAGTGACACTGTACTGGGGCCGTGAGATTAACTTTGAAACACTTGTCATGCCATTTCCGGTCTCCCTGTTTCCGAGAACGGGGCTGGCCCTCTCTGCTAAGTACTCCTTGCCTGTGTGTGTAGTCTTCGTGAACATCAGTTTTTCTTGCCATCTTTGTTTTCTGGCGTTGTGGCACAGATGTTCGTGTGCATGCAGGTGTATATGTGTGCTTCGACGTGTGGAGGCCAGAGAACACTCTCTGGCAGTTGCTTGGTCACTGTCCACCATCCTTTTTGTTGTGGTGGTGGTCATTGGTTTGCCGCTGATCTGAGGCTCGCTGCTTAGGCTGGGGACTCTGCCAACAAGCCCCAGGGATCCACCTGTCTTCCTAAAACTGAATTTACAAGAATGTGTGTCATAGAGCCCAGCTTTTATTTATTTGTTAATGTGGGTTCTGTTGATCAAACTCAGTTCCTTGCACAGCAGGTACCTTATCTACTGAACCATCTCCCCAGAACTTTTATTTATCCTTTAATTTTAAGGCAAGTGTCCCAATGGTTCCCAGTGAACTGACCCGACCTCACAGTACTGCCTTCTTGTCACCAATGCCTCGAGGGTCACAGAGGTTCTACTGCAGCAGGATGGAGGAGCTAGGAGGCAGACAATGGGAGGACCAGCAGCTCCGCACAGGCCATCCACCGAACGCATCCAGCTGAAGGGTACATTTCAGCAAAAATTGCTTTTACTGTATCACTGCATTCGATTGGTAAGAACAGAGCTTTAAAAAACACTATCAACAGAACCAAGGACCTGCCTGAGTGCATATTCCTTACACACCCGGCTTCCCGGACAATGCCTGATAAAAGCGAAAATAATAGTAACCACATTACTCCAAGCACAGCCCCGCCCCTCCCCACGTTATTGCTTTGCTTAGAGAAACCAGAAGCATCCGTCAGCGTGGCCCGTGTGGGTGCACAGTGTGCATTCACACCCAAACTCACACCAGCTCAGGCTGGTCATTTGTTCTGTCTTAGAAATGCCGTGTGCCCTTCCTCCTTAAGTAGGCAAAGCAAAACATCCCAGGCTGACCCAGAGTGCTCACCTCTGTGAAGCATTGTGGAAGGACTGGTTTGATACTCTGACTCCGGGCCTCTGACAGGCACACCCAGAGCAAACAGGGACTTTTGAATCAGAAAAGCAATGCCTTATCAAGCTTTCCATTTGGTTTGCTTGAGTTAATGTTTATCATAATGCTCCTCATAAATCAGAAGACAAGTACTAAGCAGGAAGGAGAGGCAGGTCCGCCCCACTTGAATGAGTCACTCCATTTCCTAGAGATTTCAACCAGACGGCAATAAACCCCAGACCAGCCTGGAATATCGCTGAAGGCCAGGCCGTTGCTGCCACCCTCGGGGTGAACACGTTGATCTGCACTCCCAGGATAAGTGACTCCCCCCTCCCCGCCTCCGCTAGTGTTCCACCTTTGGAGAGCCCTGTCCCCCATTTTAAAAATGAAAGTCGAAGGTCCTAAATCAGGCGTTAGACATCATCACAAATTGGATTTTCCTGTTGGTATTTTTTGTTTCCACTAAGGAGCTGAGTGCCACTGTGACCCCTCTGTGACTCCCCAGGAGTTTCCAGTGACTGTCCACTGCCCCGGGGGTGGGGGGAGGGACTTGTGGATGGGCTGGAGGAGGGTCACTCATTGTAAACTTAGAAATCTGAAAACCAAGCTGAATTTTCTTCAAAATTTGGGCTTATTTACCAGTAACTGGAAATCCTACTGTGCCTTTAGACTCAGAGACAGCAAGCGATCAAGTTCTCTGTTGCAGAACAGTCGTAAAGTCGGGCTTGCTTCGTGGCCTTGTTCACAGGGGATGAGAATTATATAGGAGGCATATATAGGAATCACTCTGCCCCGTTCCCACAGGGGATGAGAATTATATAGGAGGCATATATAGGAATCACCCCACCCTGTTCCGAGCACACAGATGTATTTCTTCCCCCTTGAAGATGAACTCAAGTCTCCTCTCTCCTCCTGGAGATGTCAGAGAATGTAACTGAAACTTCCAACTGTCCAATAACATGGCTGCCCCCAATCCCTCCCGAAGGTCGTAGAAGTCCTGCTCGGAGTCACTGATTCATCGTAAATTTCAGAAGCAATTGGCTTCTGAATCTCACGAAAACCAGATTCCCCAGTGTGTGGAGGAACATGCACACGGAGACCGAATGTGTTCTTCATGATGCCACAAAGTGTTTTATCGAGCCCCTTAGAACAAGTTAAATTGATGGTTACAAATATGGCCTCAATAAGTAGCAAGCCCCATGGAAGGCATTTCCGTGACATTTACCAAGACTTTGAATTCTGTATCACTGTTCTGCCAATTTCTCTTTAGGGATTTTTCCTGTATGACATTATCTATGTGTAAGGTCAGACATCAGAACATTGTTCAATATCAGTCATTGAGAGAACTATTACAAATCAACAAGAAATTATACTGTTTCCAATTGGACATGGTGGCTCATGCCTTTAATCCCAGCACTCAGGAGGCAGAGGCAGCTGGATCTCTGTAAGTTTGAGGCCAGCCTGGTCTAGCAGTGAATTTTGTTAATAGCAAGGCTATTTAGAAAGACCCTGGCAGAAAAAAAAAAAAGGAGGGATTGGAGGTGGGAGACTGGAGAGATGGTTCAACTGTTAAAATCTAAGCTAACAACCAAAACCATCAAGAAATTACAGCATTTTCACAGGAAGGAAAGACTATTTCTATGCTCTGTATCTTATCTAAAAGATACAGGGTGGATCAGCGCGCCAAGGTGGGCTCAGCAGCTAACAGTGCTTGATGGAAAAGCCTGTTGACCTGGGTTCCATTCTGAAATCCGCTAACTGTGGAAGGAGAGAACTGACTCCATCCTCAAAGCTGTTCTCTGACCTCCACCCGGAAGCCATTCGTGAAAACAGTTCCTGGATCGCAGCGGGAGCTTATGATTTGGGGACTTAGGAGTGGCCAGCATTGAGCTGTCTGCACGTCCTGCGGTAACCGAGACACTTGTATGACTGAGGACAACGCTGCGGGTTCAGTTCTCTGGAGCCGAGGGAAATGGAGAACCATGGTGGAGTAAAACCCCACAGTTGTTCCCATCCATATAACTTCCTGATATTGTTAACAGAGATTGGAGAGGGAGAGAGGGAGAGAAGGCAGTGGGGCGCCTTCATGTCGCCTCAACTGCCCGTTATTCTCAGGAAGAAGCTGACAATTTCTTCAGCTCCAGTCATTTTACTCAAGGAATTGGCTGCCGCAGTGAGCAGCAGGCAGCCAAGGTCCACCGGGTCCACTAGAGGGCACTGTGCTCTCATTTCTGAGGAAAGATGAACCTCGACTTCGTTGCTGCTTAAGTATTGTTGATCTCTCATTTTTTATTTTATTTTTAAATACATTTAAATTAAAAGATAGTCATTCCCCATTTCCCTTCCCTTTCCTTAAACTCTTCATCCACTCCCTCCCATGTACCCCTGCACTCTCAAACACATGTGTACAAATATAGAGTATATATAATCATACATAATATGTAGACTATATACATTACATACATGCACAACTATACAAATACCCCATGCGATGTGAGAACTTCCCAGCTAGTGTGTCTATTTCTATTGTCACCATTCACATCTTGTTTATGTGGTCATTTCTAGGAGAACGGGTTTCACAATAGACTTCCTGGTATCCCGGCTCCTGCTCCCCCTTTCTGAGATGTTCTCTGGGCCATACATGCAGGAACAAACAGTAGATGTATCTGTTGGGGATGCGGTCCCCATTGTCTGCTGAACTCTGCACTGTGGTTTTGGTGAGGGGTATTAGCTGCATTTGCTGCGGATGTAAGGATAAGATTTGGAATGGAGCAAAGAGTTAAGCTGGGCTAGCCAAGCTGTGGTAGTGGATTCTCTTCTAAGACACAGGACCTCCTAGCCCCAGGTAGTTGTTCTAGCTATGATTTCTGGAAACACTGTTTCCCACAGTTCCCTGTACCAAAGGCAGACAGTGTCCTGCTGATGAATCAGCCCTCTGTCATAATATTTGTTGGATGTATTAGACCTCTAGCACTAGGCGTGATTTTCCTCCTGTTGAGTGGCCCTAAGGCCACCTTAGGCTTGCCACTTAGGTCACCAGCAATGTGTGGGCCCCACTTACTACACCTTTGTAAGTATCCTGCCACGCTGCTATTGTTGTGGTTCACAGGTGTGTCACCTGGGTAGGACTATTAGTTGTCACCTCCTCTTGGCAGCTTACGTGTACTCTCTGGTACCTTGGAAGCTAGACTGTAGGAAGGAAGCTTTTGGGTAAAGCCCAGTAGGAGTAACCTGAGTCCCTAGTGGTGTCTTCAGCAGCAGAGGGCTACCTTCAAGCTCGGAGAGGTGACCGGGGGCGACAGTAGTAGCCGTGTTGTTTTGAGAGTCACTTGAACTATATCATCAACATCTTGAAAGGAGGTTTATTGTGCCTGGCACTTGGATTTTTGTTAGTCCATGGTTCTTGTGGGGAGCGTTGTCAGTTCAAGTGACATACTTCATTTAAGATGTGTATATACATACATACATATATATATATATATATATATATATATATGAGAGAGAGAGAGAGAGAGAGAGAGAGAGAGAGAGAATATAGTATATACATTTAGGAAAATACAAAATAATATGATTCTTTGATGCTTTATCCAGTCCAACAACCTTGATGTTACTTGTCTCTCCTCCCTCTCTCTCTTTGTGTGTTGAAGTAGCAACAACAACATGGCAGGATACTCATAAAGGTGTAGTAAGTGGGGCCCACATGTTGCCCTCCCCAGCTAGAACCCTCCCGTTTTTCTGTTTCTGCCTTCATATCACTGGTATTCTGCTATTTCCCTCTCAAGCCCCCACCTCCATTGTCCTTTTGTATTTTCCTGGTTTCAGCAGTTACTGTAGGTTGCATATTCACATGTGAAGATTTGTAGCTAGAAACCACAGATGAGAGAACATTCCATCACATATTATCTTTCTGGGCCTGAGTTACTTCATGTACTATAATCTTTCACAGGCCCATCTATTTTATTTTTATTTGCCCTGGAGGAGTCTGCTGTTGTATATATATGTATAATACCATGTTCTTATTATGTATATTTATTACATTTTCATTGTTATGCATATTTACCACATTTTTATTATGTATATGTACCACATTTTCATTATTATGTATATATACCTCATTTTCATTATTATGTTTACATACCACATTATTACTATCCATTAATCAGCTGAAACAAATTTAAGTTGTTTCCGTTTCCTAGCTGTTGAGAACGGGGTGGTGATGAAATTACTGAGCAAGTATCTGGGAAATAAAGGGATGAGTCAACATACATAATCAAATTAATATAGCAAATCATATAAGTGGGCTTAAAGACAAAAGCACATGAGTATGTCAATAGATGCAGAGAAGGCCTTTAACCAAATCTGACATGCCTTCATGATAAAAGTCCTAGAGAGAGTAGGACTGAAAAGAACATACCTCAGCATGCTAAAGGCTTGTGTGTCAAACCCTGACCAACATCATCATAAATAAAGACTAGAGGCAACTCCATTGTGATAGGGAACAAGATCGGGCTACCAGCTATCCCCACTCCTTTTCAACAGAGTTCTGGAAGAACTCACCATAACAAGAAGGCAAGAAAAGGAAATTAAAGAAATGCAAAGAAGAAAAGAAGTCAAATTATCCCTGTTTGCGTGTGGTATATGATATTATAATAAGGGATTCAAAAAAATTCCACCAAAAAAAAACTTCTAGAAATTATCAACAAATTCAGCAAAGCAGCGGGGTACAGAATCTACTTACAATCTATAGACCAACAGCTAACACGCCAAGAGTCTGTGGACATGTTCCCCTTTACAACAGCATCAGAAACAATAAAATATGTTGGAAACAAATCTAACTAAGAAAGTACAATGAGAAGTTTAAATTTGTGGGGAAAGAAATTGAGGAAGAAACCAGAAAAAGAGAAGACCATGGATGGTAGAATATTGTGGAAATGACCATCCTACCAACAAGAATTTACAGATTAAATGCAATACCAAACAAATTACCTGTGGCATTCTTCACAGAAAGAGAAAATTCCATATTAAAATTCGTGTCAAGTTACAAAGAACACTGATAGTCAAAGCAATTCTGAGCAAAACGAATAATACAAGAGATCTATTCCAGACTCAAGAGATATTTACAGAGCTACAGTCATTTAAAAAATATGCCAAAAAACCAGACATGTACATGAATGGAACAGAATTAAAGACTCAAACATGAGTACACTAACTTCAATCACTTAATACATAACAAAAAGGAAGTCATATACCACAGAAAACACCGCATCTTTAACAAACGGTGCTATGAAAACTGATGCTCACATGTAGGAGAATGAAATAGGTAAGTATCCATCACCAGACACAGAAATTAGCTCCACGTGGATCAAAGTCTTCATTGTGGAGCTCGAGGATTTAAAACTGCTAGAAGAAAAGAGGCAGCACAAGACACAGGTCCAAGTGCAAGACAGAACTTTCCAGACAGGACTCATCTCAGGGTCACACTTGACAAATGGGACCTCACTAGGGCCCCAGACCTTAGCACAGCTGACTCCATGATAGAAATACCACTCAGGCTGTAAAACTGTAAAACTCAGCATGTAGACAGCACCACTCAGCAAAACTGAAACGAAGACCTAACCCATCAAAGTCCAGAATTCTGGGAAAGTCTCTAAATGTACTAATCTTGTTGGGGTTTTTTTTTTTTTTTTTTTGAGGTTTTTTTTTTTTCTTCTGTAGTTCTGTTTCTGGCTAACTGTTCTTGTTAACTGAGGTATGTCAACCCAGAACATGGTTTCTGTGCTTAAAAGTCTACTCAAGAGCTGGCCAATCCTGCAACTACCCAGGCCCAGAACCAGGTAGATAGATGTGCTGGCCACCCCAACATCTCCCACATCTGTGATCTACTGGAGCATGTGAAG